GGGGGGGGGCATGGAGGGGGGCAGCCAAGGAGACAGCTGCCGCTACTTAAAATTTTCTAATTTGTAACCTCGGCTGTCAGTTCACCTCCATCCGAGCAATTTTGCTGTGCTGAGTGCGGGCTGTCACTCCCGACGGCATCCATGGGACAGGACGGGATGCGGTGGCTTCCCGAGGGGAAGGGGAGGGCAATGCTGCCCATGGGAAGACACTGCCCAAATTTCTACCGCTGCTCCAGGGCTGAGACCGAGTGTGGCCTGGTATGGGTTCATCGCAGGGAAGGGGTTTTCCACTTTCCTCCTCCATCTGCTCAGCGCATCAAGGGGAGGAAAGGGGAAAAGGAAAGAGAGAGCTGAAGGAAAAGCCCCAGCCCAAGGCAGCGCTCGGCTCTTTTGGCAGCGGCTGTCCCCTCCTTCCCACTTCCTCCCCACTGATTTCATTTACTTCACTTAATTAGCCCCCCTTTGGAGTTAAAAAGGTAATTTGATAATGAGGATGTGAAAAGGCGGGAGAGGCAGGGCCGCGCTCCCGCTTGCAGCCAAGAGCCCCTGGCCAAGCCACGGCCCCCCTGGCCGGCTGCAGCGCCGCTCCCCGGCACCCCATAATTAGCCACCCTCCTCCCACTAAAACAAATATGGCAAAATTGAGTTAATAGGGCTTAAAACGCTGGCGCGGGTGCGCTCGGCTCGCCCCTCGCCCATTAGGCCTTAACGAAGTTCAATTAGGAGCTTAGTAAAAATCAATGCAAATGAGTTTTTCTCTTCTCTGACTCCCCAGGTCTGGGAGGCGAGGGAGAGGAGGCACCTGGCGGGAGCCTTCGCTTCCACCTCTGCGGCCGTGGAGGGCGCTTGCTGTGCTGCTGACTGCCTGTGCCTCAGTTTCCCCCGCAGAGCGGGGGTCCCTGTGCTGCCCCGAGGAACTTGCAGAGCCCTCAGCCATCGGGGCCACTGCACACCGCTGGGATTTAAGGGATCATCACCTCCCGCCTGCGAGCCCAGGTTCCGTCTCCTGCCCTGTTGACCTTATGCCCATTTGGGGTCCAAAATGCTCCTGCAGAGTAGCAGTGGGGCCACCTCGAGCTGCCCTGCACCCCAAAACCCCCCGGAGGGGGTGGCAGGTACCGGCAGCACCCTCCTGCTCCAGCCTCCTCTCATCCCAGCTCTCCATTTCTTCTGCAGAGCATCCCTCGGAGCAGATTTCGGAAAGGTTTCTACTAATCCCAAGGAGCAAAACCGGGGGCAGGATCCTGCTCAAAGCAAGGGGGAAAACCCACTGCCAAGGTCTCGTCCCCGAGGTACGTGCACCCCTGCTGTCCCCAGAAAGCCCGGTCCTCCCGCATCTGCCGGCACACAAACACGGCAGCGATCGCTTGGCAATGTCACGCAGGAGACAGACGTGACAGTTAAATGGGGTTTAGAGAAATTATTAAATGCTGGAAGGGTCACTAGAGCATGTCAGTGGCTCTTAAAAAAATAAAATAGATTTTGACAAATTACTCAGCATCCTGCATGCAAATGCGCAGGCTGCTATGTGTGGTTTGGGGTTGGGGTTTTTGTCTTCCTTCTTTTGGTTTTAATTTGAATATTCAAACTCGGATCAAATGATTTGGGGTTTTGTTTCTTGCCTTTCGTGGCTGATGCTCTCACAAAGGGACCGGTGCCCTGTGGTGGGGAGGGAGACGGCGGGCTGAGTCTTATCAAAATATTTGCTGATGCCCTGCACAGAGGGCAAGTTTAAAGAAAGGGAGCATCTAATTAGGTATTAATGAGATTTAAAACAAAAGAGTGGGGGCAAGGAGATAGGAAATGATGATGAGCCATCTTGTTACTTAGTTCTGTGCGGGGCAGCTTGCTGCCTCCAGAGATTTCCAATGAAGCTGATCCTAATGGATGATCAATATTAAGTCACAGCCTCAAAAATGCATAGATAAATCAAAGAAGTGCCTTTAAAAAACTTCAGTGACTTGCATCGGCCTCCTGCACTTTGTACGCGTGTTACAGAGCCTTGCCCCTTCCAGGACCTCCCATGAGCATCCTCCCACGCAAGCCCACAGCTCGGTGTTTTTCCCACTGGAGACAGGTCTCACCCGAGACCTGGGGTCTCCAGTGGCACTGGGACCCCAGGGCTGGTGCAAACAGTGGCACCGGCAGCGAGCGGGCAGCTGCCTTCTTTAGAGAGTGATGAGAAGTCCCTGTCACGGGGAAATCTCAGTCAAAAGCTGGTGGGGACGGAGCGGTTGAGGGCTGCTGGTGTGACCTGAGCCAAAGCACCCCAGCGATGCTGAGCACCTGCCACGTCCCACCAGGGTTTTCCCTATTTTTTCTGGTTTTAGGGCAGGGATGGCACCACTGGTGGGTGACTGCTCACCTCTAGACTTCATCCCGACGAAGCGGTTCTCCACGATGTCAATGCGCCCGACGCCGTGCTTGCCCCTGCCGAGGAGAAGGGAGGCTGGAGCGGCCCCGCAGTGGGATGCAGGCGGCCGCGAGAGGTGGGTCGGGGGGGGACAGACAATGGGGGACAAACCCCAAATGACAGTGTGGCCAGCCCCTCAGCAGCACTGGGGACCATCAGTAGTGACCCCCAGATAGGACAGGTGATAAGGAGATGGATTTTCTCTCCCTTTCCTCTCCTCTTTGCTGTGCCGCTAGCCTCTCCATCCTTGCTGCTCACTTGGGCCACCGGAAAATAAACCAGGCAAGGGGGACAAGCCATGCCGCAGCTGTATTCCCGATAGTCGAAGTCATTTTAAAACCACTTAATTAACATTTAAAAAGTGAACTGCATGGAAAAGTTCATTCCCGTTCAGCACTGGGGCGATAAAGGCAGAGGCACAAAGAAGGATAGCGGGGACTGGGTGGCACTTGGCGTGGGGCAGGAGGAGGGGGTGCCCTCATGGGTGCTGCTGTATTTTTGGGCAAGCCCCTGAGGATAGCTCTGCCCTGGTGGCAGCAGAAAGTGGGCATGGGGTGGCACAGGGCAGAAAACCCCAAAGGCGCTGCTGCTGCAGACGCAGGAGGAGAACAGGGCGATGGACCCGGCCAGCATGTCTCCGTGCACCAAAAAAGTTGACTTTCCACCCAAAAGGGACACTGAGCCCCTTCGGGCAGGCAGGGTGAGGTGATGCCCGTCGGGTCACGAGAGCTGGGGGTCTGGGGCTGAGCTGGGACCAGGGCCAAAGGCTGCCTGCGGGCAGGGGCTGCCTGGGGGGCTCAGCCCCCCGCTGCGGGCAGGGCAGCCCTCCCCCAGCCGTGCGGCTGGGGCACCCGATAAATACAAAGGGTTGTAATAAGACTTTTTAGCCCTCCTTGTGCGCAGGGAGCAAAACCCTAAATACCCCCGTGCTCCTGGCCTCGGTGCCCAGCTCTGCTTGCTGGCATGAATGGTGCGACTGGGACCCAACTGGGACCATCCCACCCTCACGCTGCTGACCACCATCGGGCTCGTCGGGACGTGCCTGCCGCGAGCATCCCGCTCCCACCCTGCCCTGGGGACCCCGGGGACGCTGCCCTCGTCCCCGCTGCCAGGGGAGAGCGTGGCACTCACGCGATGTCGTTCAGGTACACGAAGAGCTCCAGGGCCGAGCGACGAGTGGCTCCGTCCCCGGCGTTGGTGACCTTCACGGGGACACCTGCGGAGGCGGGGAGGGAGAACGGGCAGGATCAGCCGGTGTCAGGATCCCCCCCGGAACATCACCCCGCGGGCGTTAAATAGATGTGACAGATATGAACTCTAAATAACTTCTTAAAAAGGCATATCCAAGCTGGTGCGGGGGGGAGGCGAAGGGAGGGGGACCCACCTCGGGAGAGAAGCGAAATAAATAAATAAAAAAGGCCATAAAAACGTCCCCCCCGCCTCCCTTTTCCCCTCTCCTCTCCCTCTCTCTTTTTTAGGGCCTGTGAAATTGCAACCAGGCCCTTAACTAATTGAATTTCACGCTCGGCAATTGTCTTACGGCGCAGCCCCTTCTGTCCCCCCAGCCCCTGCCGGGGGGGGGCCTGACAAATGTGTGTCCCCCCCTCCCCTGACAGCATGGGGGGCGCCTGGGGGGGACCCCCACACCGGGGCACGGCTGCTCGCACACGCACGCACACGCACCCCGCGGCGGGGCGCCCCCCGCCCCGTATTAACTTTAGCGGACGGCCCCC